AAAAAAAAAAAAAAAAAAAAGTTCCTGTTAGTCCTCAAAGGGTGCTTGTGATAGTTTAACATTTCTATTAAATGCATGCATTGGATTATTTGTTAACCAAGCATAGCGGCTACTTCTTACCATCCATCATTAAGAACTTTGACAGTCTTTTCTTACTTCGACCCTTTCTTCACTATTCTGGAAAATTTTCTTTGGGGGTGATTTTTCTGTCATTTCTATCTTAGAAGAAAAGTTGAAGTCAAGAAAATCCATGTCCAAATGATGTAATCCCCCGAAAGCAAAAAAAAAAAAAAAAAAAAAAAGAAGAAGAAGAAAAAGAAAAAGAAAAGAAAAAAACAGCCACAACTTGATTCCTGCTTTGGAGAGCACCCTGTTGGTTCCCACCCCTCAAAATCCTCAAATGGTCTTCAAACGATTATAATGACAATGGGTCCCTTCCACCAAAATATTGCTGAAGCCATCATCTGGATTCTGGAATGTGAAGTCAAATTCAAATGGAGTGCGAAAATGACTTCCACCACCTCCTCCACCAGGGAAACCTTCTTTGCCACTTTTGACACACGTGTCCCATTTTTAGCATCGAAAAAATTCCTCATATGCCTCAGCCACTTGTTTGAATTTTCTCTCTGCATCTTCTTTATTCTCAGGATTTTTTTTTTTCTGGATGCCACATTAGTGCCAGTTTCTGCTATGCCTTTTTGATACCCATGGGTGAGGCATGTGTCTGCACACCTAGAACTTCATAGCAACACATTCTGTTTTAACCAAATTGTTGGAATGAGTTTGAGATCACTGCTGCAGGAAGTAAGAAGGACAACAGGAAGCAGTGGGCCTCCTTGGTCTCCTCAGGGCTCCTCCCACTTTCCTGTCCCTTCCTCCTCACCTGCCATCATCTATTTAATGAACTTGTGGACAACTTGGATAATTACAATTATTTGTATTATATACTAGAGTATTATGAACRTCCTAAATATTTTCTCATATCCTTTGTATTTAAAAAAAAAAAAATCCCTGAAAATGGTGCTGTTGAGATTAAAGTTGGGCATATTCTGAAGCTTCTTTCCAAGCTGGTCTCCAAAATGTTGTACTGATTTTCGCTCCCACATACACTACCATTTACGCTACTAACTGCTGCCTGCTTTTTTATGAACTGAGCTGCACACAGTGTCCACTCCTGGTCCTTATCTTGGACTCACAGTTCGTGACCTGTTAAAGAAGCCATTCACAAAATAGCTCTTAGTCAAAATTTACCAAGCTGGATCATGTTCCCCCCCAGGACCACATTCATTTCAAGGAACATGCTTTACAAAGTGGATTTGGCAAAAAATAAATCTACAGAACTTCGCAGCTTGTACCTGCAAGATTTTTTTAAATTTCATTTACACCTCTAATTTTAAAAATATATAGTTTCATTTTTATTGAGGTATAATTGATGTGATAAACTTCATATATTTAATATATACTGTCCCAAGCTGTCATGGGCTGTGTGTGGACTGTTGCACACACCAACCTCCTGAGGGGATAGGTCTGGCATTGCAAACTTCCTGTAGCACCCCCTCAGGGACTGATCACCTGAGGCAGGTGAACCTCCCCCTCCAGCTCTGCCTAAGATCTCACGAAGCCAAGATGTCCACAAGACATCACGAAGCAAGACTCTGCCCTTGAAACCTTACCCCTACGTTTAATATACCCCCTTAAAGAAAATGCCGGAGCCATTTGGTCTTTGTCTAGTTTAAGAAACTCATGTAGACTAGATCTATCAGAGGCTTTGCTTTTGTAAATCTATTTCTGAGTGTTTGTGTTTTCTTATTTGTTAATTATTGGACATATTAATATTAGGGTGGCTTAATTATTTAAGATATTAAGATTTGGAGTGGCTATTTAGGGTGGCTTGGATTCCTCTGGGCAGAAGAATCCTCCAATGAGACACTGGCTATTTTCCCCTTTAACATATACAACTTAATGAATTGTGAACGTTGTATGCTCCAGTAAAACCATCACCACCATCAAGAAAATGAGCACAATCATTATACTCAAAACAGTCCTATTTTGCAATTCCTTTTTCCATTTCTCCTTATCTCACTCCACTGCAGACATGTTTTTTCATTTTTTAGAATGTTTTTACTTTATCAGAGTGTCATTTTGTAGTTTTTAATGTATATATATATATATATATATGTGTGTGTGTGTGTGTGTGTGTGTGTGTGTGTGTGTGTTGTACATTGTTAGTCAGGTTTATTCCTAAGGATATCCTGCTTTTTGATGCTGTTATGAATGGTGTTATTTTTTATTTCAATTTCTGAGTATTTGTTGCTAGCATATAGAAATATGGTGTTTTTTGTATTTCAACCTTGTAAACTTGTTGAAGTCACTTAGTAATAGCTTTTCAAAAGAGATTACATTGGATTTCCTATATAATTTTATCTCCAGCTAATAAAGACATATTTTCATCTTTATTTCCAATTTAAAAGTCTCCCCCTATACCCCATCACCTTTTCTCTTTCTTTCTTTTTTTTTTTTTTTTGCTTGATTGCACTGGGTAGAGCCTATAGCACAGCACTCAGTCTTATAAATTATTTATGATGTTAGCTATTGTTTTTTAGTAGATGCTCTTTATCAGGTTTATGAAATTTCCTTCTATTTCTAGTTTGATGAGGGTTTTAAAATAAGAATGAATGTACAATTTTGTCAAATGCTATTTCTGTATCTTCAAGATGATCATATTTTCTTCCAGATTGGTAATTCGATGAATTACATTGCTTAACCTTCTAACATTAAACCAGTCATGCATTATTAGGTCACTTTTTAATTTTGGTTTTGAGCAATTGTATTATGACATGCCTTGGAATATATTTCATCCTGTTTTCTGTGCTTGGGGATTGTTGAGTTTTGTGGATCAATAGGATTATAGTTTTATCAATTTTGGACATTGATCATTTTTCAAAATATTTCTTCTGTCTCCCTTCTCCCTAGGGGATACCTATTACATACATATCAAGCTGCTTAAAATAGTCCCATACTCCTTTCCCCTCTGGATAGTGGTACATTGTCAACAATTTAAGATTTAATTTGCTAATATACTGTCTTAAGAGGGCATAAGTAGTAAAAATTCCATGAATAAATGGGGGAAATCATTGCTCAGTCCCAAGGGAAACACTACCTATGTTA